AGGAGGGCGCGAGAGGCGTCACTTCGTGCTGGCCTGCTGTTCTGCAGGTGTGACTGGGAAAACTGGGCAGATGCGACGAGCAACACGTGCCAGTCCCAGCTGGCTCCTTGCAGTGGCCGCTTGCCCCACGCAGCAGCCGCCTCCGTTCTGTCGTTGCTTGGTGCCGTCTCTCGAGAGGGGTGTGGGGTCTGTGCCCCGCAAAAGGGACGGGGGGGGATGCATTTGCCTGGCTTGCAGCGCTGGCACAGGGCTCATCCCAGCCCTGGGACCGCCCGGAGTTCCCCATGCTGGCACCCCAGAACCAGGCTGGTTTAGGGAAAGGTCTTGTTCCCCACTGTCTGTCCATCTTTGCCTGCCACCTTGGGATAAAATTCCAGGCGAATCTCAAGGAGAAAATTGCTGTCCGTGTCGGGTGGGTGGGCCTTCAGATGGGTTACGTTCAGGAACCGTGGCTCGGGAACGCGCGGGTGAAGCTGGTGATGGGCTGTCTCGCCACTTCCTTGCAGTGCCGCGGGAGGTGCCAGTGCCTGCCTCCTGCCACGCTGCACACACTGTTCGGAAATGGCACCGAAATGCTCCTGTGCCCCTTTCCCCTCCAGCCCATTGCTTCCCCCGCCCTGGGGGGTAATATTTGGAGTAAAGCCTCAGCGGCGGAGGTGGGTGTGGAACTTCCCCCAGAGCAGCAGCCCTCCCACCTGCACGCCGTGGCGCAGGCTGGCAGGGAAAGGAGCGTGCAGACCCCGAGCGGGACGCGGCAGGGAGAGCACGCAAGACCCCATCCTTTCGGTTTGTCCTTCTCAGTCTCTCCTTTTATATATTCCTCGTTTCACGTGTCTGTGTTTTCTCTCCTCCATGCTATGGCAGTGGTGCTCCATGCTGATGAGACAGTGCGTGGTACAACCGCAGGCAGTCATTTTTCAGGTAATTTCTAGGGTACTGAACACCCGACTCTTGCTTTTTCACCCACCGAGCAGCAGGTCGGGCTTCCCGCTGCGCGGGGACGGGCCCCTGGCCGTGCCTGGACATCCCGGGCTGCTCCCCACTGGTGGCGGTGCCGGCTCGCCTAATCTGAGACCCCTTCGGCTGCCCCCCCAGCAGCTGGGGGACTCATGGGGAGGGTCAGCAGGAG